AAATCAGAATATCTACAAGGCAGAGTACTTAAAACAAAAATCACCCATATCAGCAATAAAACCCAGTTAGGTATCAGTTTGCCTCAAAATTGCCAGTCACTACTACCCTCTGAGAAGCAGCACCACAAAATCTCAGAAAATGCAGTCTTTTCATAAATAAGATCTCAGTCCTTAAAAGTTCATTATTACTTTAAGGAAAAGAAAGAAAGAATTTATAAATTAGAATGCTTGTTAGAATGCAGATTCCTAGGACCCACCCTACAACCTAATTAACCAGAATTTCTGGAGGTGAAAGCCTGGGAATTTATATTTCTAGCAAGTAGTATTTCTAAAAATATATTAAGCTGATATTGTGGAAAAGATAAATATTATCTACTGTAATTTAAATGGAACAAGAAACTCAATAAATGTAATTTGTTTTTAAAGAAGATTATTTTCAAATAAAATAATTCAGCAGTCATTTGGCTTTATGATACAATCCAGTACAAAAAGTTCCATTTCATTTCCATTTTGGATCATCTTTGGCTGAAAGTTTGTACCAAGTAATTGAAGCTCTATAAAACACTGACTACTTCTCCAGTGGATATTAACAAGAGATATGTGAAATGATGTACAACCTTTAACCGTGAAAGAATTCTGTTCCCTAAACACAGAACTTATGTGACGGTATGAAATAATGTCATTTTGACATTCAACAAAAATGCAGTTTGTGTGACTCAAGGGACATCATTTTTAAAAATGCACTGTTTGATTTATAATAAGTAGGTATTAATATTTAAGTGAGTATTAATAAAGTGAGTTGGAAAGAAATTTATCAAATTCACGAGAGTGGCTGTCTCAATGCAGGAGGAGGAGAAGGGGCCGCAGGAAGCTTTGACTTGTAATGCTTACTTTTCTTAGCAAAGAAAAGACAGATAAGTATGACCAATGATTTTGAGTGGTGAGTAATGATGTTGGTTAATTTGCTCTCTGTAATTTTCCATATGATTTCAATTTCTAAAAATAAAAAATATCTTAATAGAAGAAAATGAACGACAACAACAAGCTGTCAGTCCAAGCCCCCTTAGCAGCCTCTGGCCCGCGCCCACCAATGCACTTTACACAGGAGCCAGAATAACAGGTCGACTTCGTGGGAGAGAAGTCAGCAAGGACACCAGCGAGGCACAATGGCTAAATTAGCAAAATTCTTAATTGTAAGTCTTGACTTAAAATTTGTATTAAATATGCATGCTGACAGTACTCTCCCAGATTTTATTTTCACCAGTGCTTCCTTAAAACTTCAAGCAAGTTCACCTCAAGGTTGCTCTCTTCCAGGAGGGGAGAGCTGGAGCTACAGGGCTCTCCGCCACGTAATGCTTGCTCATCAGCAGAAGCAGCGTGCTCTTGTTAAAGGGTGTTCTCGTGTGTACCCACAAACTCAAAGACCTAAGGAGTCAAAAAACCTGCCATAGGCTAGCTATGCTGAAACTGTTCTGGGACAAAGGCAGAAGTAAGCCCAGCAGTTGCATGCGAATTTCAAAAGAGACTTTTTGTCCACTGAGACTTCAAGATGGCAGGGAAAGTGGAAAAGCTGACCAAACTGCAACAAACTGGACCTGCAGTCGATCTCTCTGCGAGTGTGTGCCAGAAAGGGTAGTGCCAAGGTGAGCTAGGTGGGATGCACAGACAGGGCCTGGCCCGGCCTGAGCACTCAAGCTCCTCACCCGGGCTCACACGTGCCCTGCCCGCTGGAAGGCCCAGAGGATGTCAAAGAACACAAACAGGATTCCTCCTGCCATCGCTCAGATTTAAGAGGTTCTGACACTACTTTTTAATTCTCCGCCTGTGGGTGCCTTTTCTTGAAAACTTCTAATTTATATACATGTAGTTTCTAAAATGATGATTATTTTAAGGAATCTGAAAAATCTTTACTATAATAAGCAAAAAGTACTTGTAACTTATGTAAATAAAGACCGAAAGTAGAGTAATTTAGCCATTTTCCAAGATGCCTGACAGAAGAAATAAAAAAGAACTACAAATCTCACATTCTTTGGGCTAGTGTTCTTCCACCATCCCTCCAGCTAAGAAAAAAGAAAAAAGGATCCACCTGAGGGTACTTTGTAAACTACACAACTGTAGAACATTCTGCTCTAAGGACAGACTGTTAGCACGCAATACCAGGCACATAGTAGGTATTCAACACACACTTCAATTTAATAACTGTCCTCAGGTGACTTCTCCTTGTCTCCCCCCATTCTCTCTCTCTCTCTCTCTTCTTTCTTTCTCTCTCTCTTCTTTCTTTCTTTCTTTCTTTCTTTCTTTCTTTCTTTCTTTCTTTCTTTCTTTCTTTCTTTCTTTCTTTCTTTCTTTCTTTCTTTCTTTCTTTCTTTCTTTCTTTCTTTTCTCTCTCTCTCTTTTCTTTCTCTCTCTCTCTCTCTCCCCCCCCACCCTCTGCTAGTTTTAAATCCAGCTGGCAAAACCAAACATGGGTAATCAAGTTAACTTGGCAACTGTCTGTTCAGAAGGCAGCAATTCTATGTAACCCAGCTCTAATCCGCCCAAGTGTCTGTAGTCCCAGCTACTGCCTGTACTGGGACTACACCGGAGGCTGAGGAGGAATGATCTGATCTCTTGAGCCCAGGAAGTTCAATACCCCTGCCTGGGCAACATAGTGAGACCTTGTCTCTAAAACAAACAAAAATCCCAGCTCTAAGCTACCTTTACTTTTGCATACAAAGGAAGATTTGGGGGGGAAAATACAGTTTAAAGACTGTAAAACAGTAATTTATTCCTGTAGCAAAGAAGCTGTGGTTACTTTAGAATTGCCAAGGCAGGAGGCACCAGCGTCTGTGCTCAGTGCCTCTCAGGGAACACGTACAGGTCCACGAGTGTGGGTGTCCCATCCTCGAGGGTGCTTTCGTAAGGACAGGCCTACGTTCCCGCACACCTCACACTGACTGCCCTACACATTTAAGGGTGGACACGATGCAAGCATTCACCAGAGGCAGGATTTACTTAAGAGCTTTAAAAGACTTCTAGGTATTAGACACTTTTATTTATAGCGCTCTATTTTGCATATTCAAATTTTCCTATAACTACTCATTCATTTAAAAAAAAAAAATCAAGGAAAGAACCAACAAGGAATTCCCAAACAAAAGCAAGGAAAAAAAACCATTTCTGGTGTTTAAATGGTTGTTAGTCCAAAACAGGCAACTAAAATAAATATGAAAATAAATATACATACACTGGTACATGATGGGCCAGGGATAAGACTACTGAGGTGACATTTATTCATTCACTGAAGAAATGTCCAAGCATATTGTGGTTAAACAGTAGATTTTAAATTCAAGGGTGACACCACGGAAGGAATGTAAATTGATACAACCACTTTAAAAAACAGGCATCAACTAGTAATGCTGAAAATATGCACACCTGATTCAGGACTGTTCAAAATTGCTCCATACCAAAAACAACCCAGATGTCCGTCAACAGTGGGTGGATAATCTGTGGTATTTCATACAAAATTGAACTAGCTACCGTCACAGGCAACAACATGGATGTACTTTAAAAAATAGCATGCTGTAGGAAGGAATTTAAACAAAAAAACTATATAGGTGTGGGTGTATACATTTATGATGCCAACCAAAAGAAAGAAGGATCCAAAAGAATACCTACTTTGATTCCTTCTGCATAGAAGTAAAAACAGGCAAAATGAAACTATTTTGTTTAGAGATTTATATTTAGGGGGTAAAAACTATAGAAAAGGAAGGAAGTGATTTCCATAAAAGTGGTTTCTAAGTTACCAATGGGGGAGAGAGGTTGTTCTTAGGAAAAAGTAGGGGGAGGCAACTTCTTAGCTTGCAAGATGGTGACACTTGTGTTTTCTTTAAAATAGTTCATCAAGTTAGTCATTTGTTTTATACCTTTTTCTGTACATTATACTTCACAATTTAGAAGGTTAAATAAATACAATGTGGATTTCCAGGAATTTAAAACCATTGCAATTCCGGCCAATCCTCTCTGAATGTCACTGTTAGCCGGTCGGCTTCATAAAGGTCAGGGATAGACCTTATTTGCCTTTTTCCCCAAGCACTCAGCATAGTACCTTTAGCAATGGTAGAAGTCCTCAGTAAATGTTTAATATAGAAATCTCTAAATTCCTGACATGAATTTTGTTTTAACTCATCCTTTTCCTGGAATTACTGATTTAAACTGTGCCCACATTAACACTCTCCTTTCCTTTCTTTGTCTTCATCCCAGTGAAGCTTTCATAAATAATAAAGCTACCACCTTAAATGTTAGCGGTGTTAAGTTTATACTTAGGCCTTCGTTGCTCTGGCAACCCTCCCTGCCTTCCCCTCCCTTTGATGCCTAATTATAAGCAAAGGAAGACAAAACACTTGTAGGCCTAGATTTTTTTTTTTTTTAAATAGGAAAGTTTTCTTCTGTACCTGAGAGTCTAGCCCAGGATCATATTGACTCAAGTACTCTGAAGTTAAGAAGGGGTCGTTTGCCCTGAGAAATATTATCATGCTATCAGGATTATTAAAACTTTACAATTGGTAAATCATGCTACCTGTTCTGGACAGAAGCCAAATTTCTATGAACAGGCCCAGTTGATTTTAAAATAATTTCAGTTAAAAAATTGCTTTGTACAAAAAGACATTTATGAAAATGCTTAGAAAAGTCTAAAAGAATACACACAAACCGATAAAGATACAGCAGTCACTTCTGAGAAAGATGCTTAAAAGGAGGCTTTAACCTTATTAGTGAAATTTAAATTTTTTACACAGAGAATGATTAATGTATTTCTTGTAACACTGAGAAAAAGCATTTTTCGCCCACCTTGCCTTAAAACAAAATCCCAATTGCAATCTCACCCAACAGATTCCTTTCTAAAGTCCATCTTTTTAAAATGCTAAAGTTTTAAAGGATTTCCTAGACTTATATACCTGGCCAGTTTTTTATGATATGAATATACATTTATGCCATTCTATTAAAGAGTATTACAGAATTCATACCTGCAGTCAACCAATATGAACGATTTCAGATGAGAACAGCATAGACACGTTCCACGCTGACGTTAAAAAGGCTTGGAATGAAGGAAACTGTCTCCAGTTTTATGGGGGAAAGCCAAAAATACCAAGCAACTACCTCTCCTCCCCCAAGCGTCAGAAGATGAGTCAGAGCTGGAGGCAGGAATAGGGCCCATGTGTCAAGCCGCCTGTGCAGAGCTCCTTCCTACCTCCTCCCAGCAACTCTCTTCCCTCACCACCCAGGCAGGGGTCTCTGTCCCAGCCTGTCCCTGATGTGAATTCTCGGGTGTCTCTGGCGAAGAAGAGGTGGTTATTCTTTCTGGAGCTACTTCATTCCCTGCGTCTCTCAAGGGAACCGAGACTGGGGGCCTTTATGAGTCTACAACAAGTAACAATAACCAAATTGCAGCTCAAGGGAGTGGAGCTTCCAGAGTCCAGACACACTCACACAACTTTGCAAAGAATACAGCACCTTTGTTCCCTTCATTTTAAAGAGCAGGAAGGAAATAAGCAGAGAGAAGTCATGACTTGTCCAGTGTCATTTAACTTCGTGGCAGATCTGAGTCCCGTGCACGGAGCTGCTGCTGGCTGGCCGTGGCCTGACTTTTAATTGATCTATACCATCTTAGGGAGAACGGTCGAACATTGCACCATACTTTTGAGTGGCCTTATGCAATAGGCGGTTCCAGGAAACATTGGGTTAAATCTCTTGGTCTATACTCCTTTAAGGTTGGCAAAGAATCCAGAGTTAGCTCTTTGCCTCCGTTTTTACATCTGTAAAACGGGAAGGTAATGCTCTCCACCTACCTCTGTTATAAAACTATAATGAACAGCTAAACGAGTTAACACATGCTAAATGCCTTGAGGTCCTGCCGGATGGAAAGAACAAGGTGGTTTAAAAACAAAAAAAATCCCTACACAGTAAAACTGCATTTGTAAGTCACTGCTCCTTCCCTTGCCTCTGGGATGCCCAGTTACCACAACACTGGCTGGTACCACTGGCAACATCCACCTAAATAAACTAGAGTTATACAATCCACTTAAAGCGGCTACAGCACGCAACTCCTTCCCCACACAAACAACAACTCAACTTCGCTCTGGAGCAAGGGTACTTAGGAGAAACGAAACGACACGTTAGCACTGTGCACACCACTCTGCTGCCGCAGAGAAAGACTCAAGTTGAATACTTGGCATCGCTGAAAGTCAAGTTGCTTCTGTCAATGCACCAGAAACCTTTGCAAGATGCAAAACGCCGCGGCCGGCTCCGGGGCGGGCGGATGCTGGGGGCCGGGTGCGGAGGCCACGGCGGGCGGGAGAGCACAGGGGTCGCGGGGGAGGGGGAGGGGAGAGGCGCAGAGGAGGATGCCCGCGCCGAGCGCAGAGCGCCGGGGTCCCGGCGTGGGGGGAGCAGCAGGGGTGCGCGCCGAGGCGGGGCCGGCTCCTCTCCTGCCCCGCCGCCCCGAGCAGGCGGGGACCGCCCGGAGCAGGTGGGAGCGGCGGCACAAAGTTTCCAGAGACGAGGGTCGCGCGGGCCTCCGGCCCCGCCGCGCCCAGGCCAGTCGCCGCAGTCCGCCCGCCGGCCCCGCCCCAGCCGCCGCCCCGCAACCCGGGTCCGCGGCCCTACCGGCGCGGCGCGGCTGGTAGCTGGGGCTCCGTCCTCCGGCGCGGCTCGCGGCTTCTGCGGGCTGGCGCCGCGCGCCTCCTCCTTCCGCCCGCGCCCGGGCGGCCGCGCGCACGCTCCCTGCGCCCGCCGCCTCTCCCGGGGCGCTCGGGGCCGGCGGCCGCGGACGCGCGGGCTCTGGCGGCGCGCCTGCGCGCTGGCTCCGCGACGTGCGGTGCGGCCCGGACGCGGCCCCGGCCCCTGCGACAGCCGCTGCCCCGGCGCCCTCTGCTGGGGACCCGCGTCGTCTCTCCACCCGTCCCACACACACGACCCCGCCGCCCCACTTGGGCGTCCGCCTACGAGCTGGGCTGAGGCGGGGTGCAGGGTGCTGGACGGGGCGACTTTCTGGATTTGAGAGGATTGAAGGCAAGGAAACGACACAAATAAAGGCGTGAAGACCCCAGTTAGGGACGAATCACCGCCCCTCACCCCGCCCACACCTGCTCTCCGGCACGGGAAAGCCCGGGAGTTGGGGCCGGAGAGCCGAGGGAAGGAAATACACGTCTTGGCAACTGTTGGATGGGTTTGGCTTGAACAGGTACGGGCAGCTGCTCGCGGCTGTGGGAGCTGTAGCGCGGGAGACGAGAGGCGGCACACACGTACACACCCCCACACCTCCCGCCGGCTCCCACACGCCGGCGCAGGTGCCCTCTGAGCCGCCAAACGCCAGAGCCACAGCCCGCGCGCGCCTCCCAGGCGGGGCGGCGGGGTCTTCAGAGCCCGGGCTGGACACATGGATTCCTTCAGGGCTGATTTGCTGTGTCACTCTGGGGGTCTTTTTTAATTCAGGTCTGCCCATCTGTAACAGGAGTGGGTGTAAATGGGACTTTTTTCATCACAACCCAGCCCTCCCTCCTGCCTCTGGCAGGTGAGGAGAACGCGGGGGAGGTGTCAGCGACTTCCTCAAGGCTCTGCAGTGAGTCTACACCTGAGTCCTGACTCCATGCCCAGCCCTTTACTCACCAGCCCCTGCTCCTCACCGTTGTAAATCATTGGCCTCCGAACTGAACAAACGAGTAGATACGTTTGGAAGGAGTGGTTGGAGGGGGGAGTAAAAACCGCGCTTTGGGTTTTCATCTCCCGACCTCGTCAACCAAAAGCTTGGAGGTTTTTTTCATGGTCTTCCTAATCTCCGCTGGCCAGCCGGATTCAGAGTCATCATGTGGGTGCTGGAATATCTAAAAGTTTTGTCTGCTTCCCAGACAAAAATATAACATCAAAGGCATATATAGTGATAATCCTGGGAGAGCCCAGACTAGAGAGATTTGTTTTTGCCTTCATAAAGAGAATCAAAGGTTTAAAATTAGGCAAAATTAATCTATGAGAAAACAAAATACAATTCAGGGTAAAGCACTAGGAGTTCAAATCTTGCCCAGGAAAGGCATCTTCCCAGCACTAAATTGTTCCATCCATTCATCTAGTGACTGACTTTTGACATACCAACATGAAAAATCCGCAAAATCTCTAACAGAAGTTCTTATATGCTGCTTTTGTTTCTGCACGCCCCCCACCCCCAGGAATTGTCCTTCCTTCAGTCAACTCAATGACTCAGCAGCACAAACAGATATATCCCTCTTCAGATTCCAGTTTGCTACACAGAAGGCAGGTTTCCAGAAGAAGCTCTAGTTAATGACAAGGGGCTGGGCAATTTCATGGATTATGGGAACTAAGCCTACCATGAAGAAACATACCCTCATCAGTGAAGAAGAGGGAGGTGTGCTTAAGGTAGAATTTGTGTTGAGTGTGATATGTGTGTAAAAATTTAGAGATTAAGAAAAGTAGAAATGGAGCCAGGCGAGGTAGCTCACGCCTGTAATCCCAGTACTTTGGGAGGCTAAAGGGGGAGGATCGAGCACAGGAGTTCAAGATTAATCTGGGCAACAAATCGAGACCCCTATCTCTACAAAAAAATAATATTGGCTGAGTGTGGTGCTATGTGCCTGTACTCCCAGCAACTCGGGAGCCTGAGGTGGGAGGAATTCGTGAGCCCAGGAGTTCGAGGCTGTAAATATGCTGTGATGGAGCCACTGCACTCCAGCCTGTGGTGATAGAGCAAAACTCTGTATAAAAAAAAAAAAAAAAAGGTAGGAAGAAGTGCTGAAGTCAGTAAGACCATTTAATGACTGTACATATATGCCTGTGGGTAGGGAGGTGCTTCATGCCTTTATAGAATGTGGACGTGTGTGTTTATATACGCCTCTACCAAAAAAATGCAATTTAAAGGTATTCCCTTCTAGATCAGCAGTCCAATAGCAATTTGTGTGATGATGGACATGTTTTGTGTGTCCACTGTCCAATACAGTAGCCACTAGCCTCATGTGGCTACTGAGCAGTTGAAATGTAGCTAGCATGAATGAGGAACTGGATTTTTAATTTTTTTTCTATTTTAGTCAACTTAAACAGCCACAAGTGGCTACCTTATTGGACAGCACATTTCTAGACTATAAATATGTTAATTTCTTTATAGGTGTCAACTATTTTAGTGTAGAACCATTTTAGAAGCTGTCTGCTATAAAACTACAATTTGTCTGTGGCCAGGGAGGGCTTAGGTCCTCCTGATTCCAACTAAATAAGCAGCGCATCTCTGCAGAGTCAGAGCTGATTTGATTAACACAAGTAGAGAGCAAAACCTTCTACTTTGCTTAGCTTCTGATGTCTGCTTTTCCAAAAATATTCTCCGTAATTACTTGGGCAATGACTGCTCCTTAATCAGACTTTTATGGGTCCCTCAGAAATAACAGTTGCATCCTCTATTTGTATCATTGCCTCTAGGTAACAAATTGGTAACAGCTTTGATGTATCTGTCAGAACTGGTGAACAGTGGCGATCAAGGCGCCCCAATCTACAGAAGTTTGCTTTGGGGGTGTCATCAGGTCCTGTGGCTCACAGATGTTTAGTGCCTGTCATTCCAGATTATATGGCATTGATGGTTATAAGAATCCAAATTCCCTGAGAGAAGTAAATCTTTAAAATACTGTCCTGGACAAACACCAGGTATCCAGGAGAAAACTCTATGAATGTGGAAAAGATTAAGAAAAAAAAAAAAAAAACTAGCAGGATAGAAATCTCAAAACACATTTCATCTACTATAGAAGTTTGTCAAAGGCTTATGCTAATTTGTAAGATTGTTAAGGTAGCACCTTATATGACTATTAGTATAAAGTTTAACTAGAATTAATTAAAATGTAAAATACTTTAAACTTCTATTTTCAGAATTTTCATAGTTATCATAAATTTATTTTTCCAGTAATAAAGAAATGTCACATTACCCCCTCCCCCCCAAAAAAAGGAGGAAAAGAATCACCTAATTTTATTCTTAACAAAACAACAATAATCATCTGGATGTCTTTCTGGTCTTTTTTCTATGCTAGATTTTTTAGTTTTCTTTACACAATTACAATCATAGTACACATAGTTTTGTAACCTGACATCAACCTTCTTGAGCTAGGCATCATAAAAGGGAACATTACAACATGTCTAGGATAACTAGGTAATTTAAAACCTGTCTCTGAAATTTTCTGCCCTTGATTCAACCCTAGAGCTGTGGCAATGATGTAGTGCTGAGAATTTCAAGATAAACAACGTCCTTGCGAAAGGCACATCTGTCTGTTTTAACATTTATTCTGTGTCTTTGAGATCTTAATGTCCCTTTGAGATTTTTTGCATGATGTGAATTGTGTGGTGCAAGAAAATCACATGCTTGTTCATACATGACTATAGTTAAACTGCAATATCAAAGGCTATGCAGGTCACCCTTTCTGGGGAAAAAAAAAAGATAATTAAAAGTAAAATATCAAAGGCTCAATAGGACAGAAAAAGGGAGGCATTAGTTGTGTTATATACCTTAACCTATTTAATCTTCACTAAACTCAGGTAGGTATTATCAACCACACTTTAGACATGAAGAGTTAAGAAACTTGCCCATGAGGCCAGGCGCAGTGCCTCACGCCTGTAATCCTAGCACTCTGGGAGGCAGGAGTTCGAAACCAGCCTGAGCAAGAGCGAGACCCCAGTCTCTACTATAAATAGAAAGGAATTAATTGGCTAACTAAGATATATATACAAAAAATTAGCCGGGCATGGTGGCGCATGCCTGTAGTCCCAGCTACTTGGGAGCCTAAGGCAGTAGGATTGCTTGAGCCCAGGAGTTTGAGGTTGCTGTGAGCTAGGCTGATGCCACGGCACTCACTCTAGCCTGGGCAACAAAGTGAGACTCTGTGTCAAAAAAAAAAAAGAAACCTGCTCATGGTTGCATTATTATTAAATAGCATAACAAGTTATGTGCTCAGATCTTTCCAATATACCAGGCAGGTAAACAAGAAAGCATTTATCTATATAGGGCCAGTAACAATGTGAACAATCCTTACTTCTTCCTCAGTTATTTGCTCTATAAACTCATTTAAAAATGAAAGTGTTTTTAAAAATTCTGTTAACAACTAAAATATATTCATGAATCTGAGGAAAAAATACTTTTTTGTTGTTGTTTTTAGAGATAGGGTCTCATTCTATCACTCAGGTTGGAATACAGTGGTACAATCATGGCTCGCTGTAATGTCTAACTCCTGGGCTCAAGTTATCCTCCTGCCTCAGCCTCCCAAGTAGAGTAGCTCAGACTACAGGTATGCACTACCAGGCCCAGCTAATTTTTAATTCTTTTGTAGAGTCGGGGTCTGGCTATGTTGCCCAGGCTGGTTTTGAACTCCTGGCCTCAAGTGATTCTCTTGTCTTAACCTCCCAAAGTGCTGGGATTACAGGCATAAACCACAGTGCCCAAACATGGGAAAAGTATTTTTTTAAAGAAACCTTTTCAAAATGGGGAAATGAAGAAATATTTTCCAAGAGTTAGTTAACTCTGGTAGTTACTATACCAGAAATGGTTAAGAGACATACTTTTTTTTCTTGCCCTTTATGAACCAAAGGAGATAGACTTTTGAAGATAAACAAGGTAATTAATGATGCTTTGCATAACCTCCTGCAACATCAAGGAGGAAATACCTGGTCCTACTAAAAGGGAATAAATGTACATATCAGCCGGAAAGCCTGGAGACTTCTCTCTAGTTATAAATTGTTACATGTATCATATCAAGCCACTGACTATGCAAATGAAGGAGCAGAATGTGAATGGAAGGGTAGCAGAGGCTCCCAGATTGGTTAAAAGGCAACATCTAACCTACAGTGTTGCTCATCTGCTCTTTGCTTTGCCAAATAGTGGCAAATCTGTTACAGGAAGTTGGAAGACTCACTCACATTATTCTTCACCAGACCCAAGCTACATGAGTTGTAAACATATCCTGGATGCAAAGCATGTCTCCAGAGCTCGGGAGCAGTGTCTGGCTACATCCTGGATGCTAAATAGGGGTATCACCTTTCATCAGAGGGCCTCTAAGCTTCCGGCCCCTACATCCACCCCATCTTGCCATATATACTAAAAATCCATGGCTTGTCTTCCCTGCCTCCTAGTTTCCATGGAGATGCAACAGTTTACCCCACCCCCCACCCCCCCACCCGTGGTTATTTTTAACTGGAAAACTCTGAGCCAGGTCACAGCTGGGATCTGGATGATGCAATGACGTCTATAGCCACCCTTCTCTCCCACAAACGCCTTCTTTTCTGCAGTTGCTGGAGGCGGAGGCACTCCTAGGAGATTTTGCTCTCAAAAGCATTTTGCTTTGCATCATGTAGTTAAAACCCATGCCCTGTCTTAGATCTGACAGGTGTCCTGAATCTGATGCTATGCACGCCCAGAACAAGGCAAAGATTTTCTTATGGGGGTGGAGAGCCAGGTAAGGTTGACATTTTCATTGCCTATCTGTGGCTAGAGCTTAGATAAATGTTCCTCCCCGCATTGGAGTGGCTGTATTAGCTGCAGTCTCCCTATGGTTAAAAGGGCTCCTAACAAGAGATATTGTATGGAAAAGCTGTTCAAATCAGTCCACCTATCTGTAAGGCCCTTGGTACTTGGGAGCTAGTGTCTTCAAGACATTTCAACACTTCTCCCTCCTTTTCAATAACTTTTTGGGAAAAGCTATTAAATTATCCTGAAAATTACCCTTTTCATCTTTGACAACTTACTAAGATTAGAAACTGAAATAAAATCATCAGTTTTCTTACTGGGGACATTAACTGGGCACATTGAAATTAAGTTCCACAGCCCAGGTTCCAATGATCTTTTAAAAATTTTCTTGATGTTTTTATGTTTTAAAAGAATTCTCTAAATGAAGGGTGATAAATGGGGGAAGGGGTGACCAAATCATTAGCTATCTATTGTTCAATAGGAAAAAAGAGAGGCTTAGGGCCGGTGGCTCACGCCTGTAATCCTAGCTCTCTGAGAGGCTGAGGCGGGCGGATCCTTTGAGCTCAGGAGTTCGAAACCAACCTGAGCAAGAGCGAGACCCCATCTCTACTATAAATAGAAAGAAATTAATTGGCCAACTAATATATAGAAAAAATTAGCCGGGCATGGTGGCGCATGCCTGTAGTCCCAGCTACTTGGGAGGCTGAGGCAGAAGGATTGCTTGAGCCCAGGAGATTGAGGTTGCTGTGAGCCAGGCTGACGCCACGGCACTCACTCTAGCCTGGGCAACAAAGTGAGACTGTTTCAAAAAAAAAAAAAGAGAGGCTTAGATCATTGTAAATAATTTCAGAAAGGAGCAATATACTTGGCAGATAGCTTTCCAAGGAGAGAAGAGATGCATTAGAGGTATCATGAGCTGGCACTTAGCTGTCAGTTCACTGAATAAGGGTGATAAAATGACAGCATTTCAGCATTTTTGCTTTAAGAAAGTGTTGGTTTCTTAAAACTATGAGGTCTTCTCCTTTCCACACTTCCTAAGATACTGGTTCTGTTCAACACAACTCTGGACCAAGGCAGGATTATTTAAGCCACCCAGAAGTTTTCTGCCACACAAGACCTCAAAGGAGACAAGAACAAGATGAAAAAAAGTTTTGATTGGTTAAAAACAAGAGATTAATTAGTTCAACCAAATGATTACTTTGGTGCCACAGAATTTCATCCCCGTGCTCTAAAGTAAGTGCATCAGACTCAATTATCCAGCCCTAAAAGACACAGAGCAAGTCTGGGCTGGCGAAGTTTAACTACAGGGTTTTCAAAGGTAAGGGAAAGTTCGGTAACTGTCAGGCCTACATCTGTTAAATCAAATTTTTTGTAGCTCTCAAGTTTTGGGTTTTAGACCTTTTGTTGGTCACTGCATTCTTATCTCCACTTCCTTATTTATTCCTACTGTCAACAGGGAAGGGGGCCTATTACATAATGCATAACAAAACAAGCAAGTAACTCGTGACAAAGGAATTATGATGTCAAATACAAGGCATTCATCATTCCCTTAAATCGCTATGTATCTGATTTGTAAGCTTGGTCAAATCAAAGAGCAATTGATACCCTTTCATTGCAGTACACCTCAACGCTGGAAGCCAAGACAGCAAACAATGAACAGAACTCCCTGTCATCAGATATGGAAACTGGTTTTCCAGACCTCTCAGAAACTATTCACTCTTGTCCTCTTCTCAAAAGCAGCACACTAACACTTCTGTTCTGATGTATATTTCAAGGATATGCTTAGATTCCAAAATATTCCCTAAATGCTCACACTACTATTCTCATTCCCAAATTAAGTGCCTAATCAGCATGATTATATTATCCAGGCTGCTCTGACCTTGCTTGAACTGAGATCCTGTTCAATTTCACCTACATTTCATTCAGAAGGTCGGGTATCTATCTTGTCTGATTAAAGGGAAATCTTTTATCTTAGCTCAGTCACCTCATCTACACAAAGCAACAGACATGGCAGTGCCCCATGTACCAGAGAGGGTCCTTTCTGGCAGATCTGGGAGAGGTTAGCTGCACCTGGGTAAGCACATTGGAAAGAAAGGCAAAGCTTCCACAGCAGCAATACCTCTTAACTCAAACTTTTTAAGAAATTCAAACAAAAAGCCAGGTACATACAAGTTGTAAAAAACCTTTTTGTATTGTCAAGAATAATGCAATGTGTGTCTAGAAGGTATCCACAAAGGATGTGGACATCCTTTAAAATGGATGGGTGGTGTTCCAGAATGCGTTTAGAACATTGTACCACTCTCCTGCCTAGAGATGGGTGGAAAAGTGTGTTTTTGGGAAGTATATGCATGAGTTCTACCAAGCTGCTGTGTAATTTGGGCCTCTGATTCTTCACATTGGAGATTTTAGTTCTCTTATAATGTACCTACATATTTCTAAAGCTAGAGTAACTTAAACTGGGATTCTGTTGTTATCCCATCAGTCCATTCCACTTTTCCAGCTAATCCAGCTAAAGAAGCTTCTAATGACTGGTAGCTTAACTACCAGTTCATTTTTTTTTTTTTTTAAAAGGGGAGTAAACAATAAAAGAATGGAAACTGTAACCCAGGAAAAACTAAACTGTGAATATTTAGTGTAACTGGTCTCTCAAGAGAGATAATAGTCTTGGTCTTTAAGCACAGAGAAGAGTCATTACACAAAAAGAGATTTTTCTCTATTTCCCACCACTGGGATATGCAAAGAACTCCAGCAGAAACCTTTTTTTTTTTTTTGAGACAGAGTCTCACTTTGTTGCACAGGCTAGAGTGAGTGCCGTGGCATCAGCCTAACTCACAACAACCTCAAACTCCTGGGCTCAAGCAATCCTCCTGTCTCAGCCTCCCGAGTAGCTGGGACTATAGGTATGCACTACCATGCCCGGCTAATTTTTTTCTATATATATTAGTTGGCCAATTAATTTCTTTCTATTTATAGTAGAGACGGGGTCTCACTCTTGCTCATGCTGGGTTTCGAACTCCTGACCTCGAGCAATCAGCCAGCCTCGGCCTCCCAGAGTGCTAGGATTATAGGCGTGAGCCACTGCACCTGGCCAGCAGAAACCTTTAATGTTAAATTGCGATAAAACTTTCCTAACAGTAAAAGGTCTTACTCATGTTGTTTAGTTGCAGAGTAAACTCGTCCTCTTCTGAGATGATGTGGACTAGGAAAGACCTCTATTTAGCGTAGTTGATTTATGGCCAACCCTGTCTAGAAGCAAAGGGGAAAAATGCAATGTTCTCTGAAAGCCCCTTGACTTACTAGCTCTGGGTTTTTGGTACTAACTGGCATTCCCTAGGTGATAAGAAGATGGAAGTAAATGATGTTTCATAGCCAGCCATACCACATATCAGCAAGTGCTTTCCTATTATAAATGCAAAAAGATAATCGACTTAGTGACTCCCTTCAACAGTACTCTTCACCCAAAATATGGCTTGCCTTTGAAAAACCCACTAGGAATTCTAGGTGTTAAAGTTTGCAAAGTTGGGTTTACCAAAGAAATAATAATCCTATTTTTAAAAATCCAGTCATTTGAAATTACCACCTTATTTTTCTCTCGCTATTTCCAACCATGCTATTCTCCTCATCAAATCTGATTTCCCACCAGCTTTTGGGAGTTCAATTGGTTCCAAGGTTTCTGTCAGACTGTCCTACTGTCCTCCCACTCCTAACTACCACAGCTGCCCCTTGTGTTCTAGCAAAATAAATTTCTTGGCACCATTTTCCTTGCTCCCACTGCTGCCTCCACATCCTCCTCCACCCCCTATGTCTAGAACAGTTTTCTACTTCCATCTGCCATTTTTCTCTCTCCTCTGGATCTTATCATTGCCCCAAAAGCCCACCTCTCCCAGGAAGCCTTCCTTAATCAAGAGTAAGGGCTCTTCAACTACAACAGACATCACCTGACACTCATGTCTATGCATACCAAATTTTCAGAATAGGAATTACCTTTTAGGGTAAGAAGCAATCCGTTTATAACCAGCTAGGGGTGATGGTGGTAGTGAAATATGTTTTCTAAGAGATATATGACTATGCAAAGAAAAGAGACCAGTTCCACAAGACATCCTTTTTAAAGAATCAAAGTCCTCTATTTGAACCCTCAGATCCTGAGAATGTCTTTTTCCATTTCTTATCCCCTAGATGAAGTCTATTAGCAAGCTGCATGCATATTTACATCAATCGAAAATGTGAGCAGATGCTTCCAACAAAACACACAATATTTTAATTAGATGTTTGAATGTAGAAGGAATTAAAGAATCAGTCAGCTATTGGATGTGATTTGTGCAGATTCCGAAGAAGTTATTTCTATACACAACTTTGCTTGTAACATAAAATGAGATAACCATGACTATGAGTCTGGCTTCTTATTCTGCAGAAAGGTTTGAGGACCAAGTTTCAGATGTGGGGCTACTCACCCTCATATTTAGTGAGTACCATATATGAAGCTGCTTCACGTCTGTTTTAAAAGCAGCTTTTATTGCAGGCTAGCTTTTCACCATTGAGAAATTAGGGTTCAGGTCTCAGTCAAAGCAAAGCTGAGGTTAGTTGCATCATCTCCATCCTCAGGGGCTTGGTATCCTGGGCAACCCAGGGTAAGAACAGGGTGAGTTCAGGACACACGTGGTTAGCAGAGACAGTGCAGCATGATGGGGCCGGCAACCAACACTTGAAGTGTGCTTTAGTTACCAGAATATTTGACACATCCACAAATTAAATAGCAAAACATTTTAATCCATTAATTCTAAAAATAACAGAGACATTTTATATCTGGTACCACCTCCTCAAAAGTCTACTGCAGATCAGACAGCCAGACTGCCAAGTACAAAGCCAGACACTAGAGTTAAAGATGCAGTTTTGGAAAGACCATCATCATGGGAATATTTTCTTTCTCTTTGCTCAGGAACCTAAGTTGTCAGCTTAAAAAATCCTCAGAAAGAAAGAGAAAGCTTTCTGATGCTCTAAAACCTTTCTCTTTATTTTTAATCTGTCTGCAATGTTTGAAGGCAAAGCAGATAATCAGCAAACTTACCTCTCAAGTACATGGATCTGAGCTGAACTCCTGGGACTGAAGACTGTGGTTTAGTTCTATTTCTACCAACACTGTGATGTGAGGTACTATGGTTCTTTTAGTTACAAGAGGTGTTAGGAATGAATGCCCACTCACATTTAATAATAGCTTATCTAGCACACAACTCTGCAGCATAATACCAACAACAGGGAGTGTTTTAAAGCAGGGTGGAAAGAAAGTAGACATTAATACAACTTAAGGGTTCCTTTGTCCTTCCCCTCTTTTTACAATGAGAATTCAGCTCAAAAACAAAACTCTCCAGAATGCCCATATTGTCCTTTGGCCCAACACATTCCAAACTTCTGACTTCTGGTCCCAAGCCCTTAGAGCCTCAAGCTTTAGTGATGTATCCTTCTCGGATGAGGAAATCATAGATTTTCCGGGTTTTGTTCACGTCTATCTTGATGAGTGCTCTTGCTTGTGCCAGTCTCAAGCCTCCTTGCTTGTTACATTCATTCAGCAGAGCAGATTTGTATTCTAAATAGGCTCCAGGGACCAACCTCACCATCTGACAGAGCTGCAAGACATGGTAAATTTAATAAACATTAACATCTGTCATTCTCATAATTTAATCCAGCAGGTATAGCACAAATTTTTTAAATGTGACATCAACCTCCAACTATTTATAGGAGTTGATGAGTGGCTGGACCACATTCCATTTAGCCTTCTCTTCTTTGGAGAGAACACTCCCTAAGGACAGATACCCAGGAAGAAAGCCAGGCTGTGATGCTAGGAGAGCCTTTAGTACCTGCAGGCTGGCTCAGGTGTCCAGGTTTATTAGGGAATACAAGTATGTGTTCCTGAGGAGCAGCTGGGTTCACTCAGGGGGTAAGCACTAAATACCCAGGCTGAGGCCCAGCACTATTCCAGCGGTCAGGGAAGAGCCAAAGGGCACAGAGAGGTGGGAGTGGGGTGGAGGGTACAGATACTTTGATTCCTAAGTATGAATCACATTATATTTAGTACCAGCATAAAGCAGTAGTCCTGCTTTTGTGATTACATTTCCTGCTTTGAAGGGAAAGGAGATATAGAGACCTTGATAAGAAAAGGCCACTTTGCTAAAAATCTAGAAAATTTGGCTCAGTTCTAGTTCACCTGCCACATTATCCAGCTATGGGCAGTCTGAGGCCACCATTATGTGGGTGAGGATAAAAAAAATGCTTCAAATTCCAGGCCATTCAATATTTGAACCAGACTGGCCCGTGACCTTTTTCACCAATACATAAATACAAGATACATTTCCTTCTACCCCCAAACTAATTTTTACTGTTCCTGGTGGATAAAGTTAGACTCAACTAGCTCCTATACTAAGAGTCGTCATTATTTGACCTGAACTAATGATACAATGTGGCAGATGGAGAGAATAACCTTGGGAATTATAAAAGGAGCAATAGGAGCAAAAGAGAAATTTTTCTTTTGGAACGGACTTCAGAGGCTATGACACATTTTTTGGGAAAACTCTTGATGCTGATTCTTATGAGGCTGGATTTAAATTTTTGAAAATAAAACCAATATGAATATAAGTCTAATGATTGCAATTGGAAAGAAAAGTAGATCATGTCACTTTTATAATAAAAATTAATGTGCGACATTCTTTATGCTTATAAACATGCTCTGGAGACAATCATAAAAATGTTTTAAGTGGCCAGGTATGGTGGCTCAAGCCTGTAATCCTAGCACTCTGGGAGGCCGAGGCAGGCGTATCGCTCAAGGTCAGGAGTTCGAAACCAGCCTGAGCAAGAGCAAGACCCCATCTCTATAAATAGAAAGAAATTAATTGGCCAACTAAAAAAAAATATATATAAAAAAATTAGCCGGGCATGGTGGCACATGCCTGTAGTCCCAGCAACTCGGGAGGCTGAGGCAGAAGAATCACTTGAGCCCAAGAGTTTGAGGTTGCTGTGAGCTAGGCTGACACCATGGCACTCTAGCCCGAGCAACAGAGTGAGACTCTGTCTCAAAAAAAAAAAAAAATGTTTTAAGTGACAGTTACACTGTTGGAATAAGTGTAGAACTTTTCAAAGTGACCATTCTAATAGGAAATACGTATTTTCATGTAAAAGCTATTTTAAGTTTATAAAAAATTACATTCATGTATAAAGTACTTAATAGAGAACACAGTAAATGCTCATTAAATAATAGTTGCTATTATTTAATTTACATGTTACATGTTACTTCCCAAAAGAGGAATCATAGCAGAGTGACAAGCAAAAGAGCTGGCTCTTTTGCTCTTTTACTTTCAGGATACACCAGAGCTGTATGTATGTTAGATAAATGGAGCAAAACAGGTTTGATTATATAGTGGATTTGTAATGACAACTCAGTGAATAATCAGCCCCCCTTCTCTTTCGTCTAGTCTCTCTCCTTTTTGTTACCTCCTTTTCCTTTTCATTCAGCTTCTCCGTACCAGGGAGGCCAGTGAGGTTCAAGGGTGGTGCACTCCGTCTACCTATAGATACAGACAGAAAAGGGCATAGATTTCACAGGAGTCACAATTCCTCAGATGTAAAGTATCAAACAGTTCAGTGCAGCCAGGCCTGCTAGGTATAGAATCACTATTATCTAGCTGTAGGAAATCTTGCCTCACCCTCTCAGGCCTGTTTAGCTAGCAACATGGACACCCTAATATTTACTTGAAAATAAAAATGGTAACTTATGTGCCCTCAATATAATTCAGGTCCCTCCCATTTCTCTGCCTCACCTAAAAAGCAACTTCCACAAAACTTCTACATTTTCTTTTGTTTAACTTAGTCCATCCATCCCCAACTGAACAGTAATCCCAAATATATATTCAAAACAAAACCAAAAAATATTTGCACACCAAGCTTTTGAGCTGACCTCAGCTGAACAGATAATTCAGAGCACATGAATTACCTAAAACTGCTAAATTACACAGACAATCACATATACCTTAGCATCAACTATAACTACTTACCACAGTAGTTATCACCTATTTCTTCCTAACCACATAGGAGACTATAAAATCTGAAGCCCGGATGTCATCCAGTTAAGAAAGGTCATACACTGCCTGCCTTGACAGCTGATGAATGGAAATAACAACTCTGCAGGAGAGACATTCCCTAATCCTCACCACTCTGCCAGCAGTACAAGGCAAACATGGTAATTAACCAAGTACTATGTGCCTTCAGATCAAAGGTGGACTGTTAGGCCAGCAAAAAGCTCTTCTTATTTATTATGTGAGGGAATATCTGTTCCTTCCAAAGTAGCCCTGTTTACCTGAAAGATCCACACACAGGAACAATGACCCATTATATAGCAAAGGAGGGGCTGAGATCAACTCACATACCTGAGAAATAAACCCAAGAAGGAGGTCACTAGTCAGGATGAGAAGCCTGCTGTGCAAAATTTTTTGGTTTTGTTTTGAATATATATTTGGGATTACCGTTCAGTTGGGGATGGATGGACTGAGTTAAACAAAAGAAAATGTTTTATGGAGGCTGCTTTTCGGGCAGCGCAGAGAAACAGGAGGGACCATAACAAGCAGCTCTGTTGGAAAACAGGCTTTTCTGTAATATCAACAAAGGAGATAAGGGCTTACCCTAAATGTTCAAAAAGGGACATAAAATCATTTGGTGCCTCACAAAAGTCACCTGAGGCTTGGCTACAATCAGTGATGCCAGGCTTCCAATGTTTCATTGCTTTAAGAGCAATTGAGAACATAAAGGAGAATAAGGGGTCTCCTCAACCTAAATATAAGGGGTGAAGAAGGCTGACACCAGCCTAGGAAGAAACAATGAATAAGCAAGTGTAGATAGCTCAGAAAACATAAATGCCAAAGCTACACAGTCATGTTAGCCAGTTCTTCATTTTAATTAGCCAGTATTAACTTATTTGTATTTCTGTATTTAGATTTGGGGAGGAGTTGGAAGAAACTTATAAAATAAAACTTGGATTTCACTGTCTTGGCTACTCCCTAAAAGGCCCCTTTTCTCCCTTAAGTATTAAAATATTGGGCCCCACGCACCGTGTTCACATCGTAATCAAGCACTCAAGGTGGGAGGATCACTTGAGCTCGTTGAGTTTGAGACCAGCCTGAGCAAGAACGAGACCCCCATCTCTACTAAAAAAGTAGAAAAAACTAGCCAGTCAACTAAAAATAGAAACAACAACAAAAATTAGCCAGGCGTGGTGGCTCGTGCCTGCAGTCCCAGCTACTCAAGAAAGTGAGGCAGGAGGATCACTTGAGCCCAGGAATTTAAGGTTGCTGTGAGCTAGGCTGATGCCATGGCACTCACTGTAGCCTGGGCAACAAAGTGAGACTGTCTCAAAAAAAAAAAAAATTGCTGGAAACAAAGGAATAAAGGAAAAAAAATTATCATTTTAAAAGTAGCTTTATCTGAGCCCTATCTAGATCCTCAATCTACTGAGAGACGTAATTTACAAGGTCTGTTCCAAGCTGCCAAAGAATGGTGAAATAGTAAATAAAACAGGTCACTTTGTGACTATTCCATCCCTAATCAGTGGAGTGGTCTGTATGTTCTGATTAGAAGAAATGACTAATCTAGCCTATGGAGGAATGAATTAACCAAGAAAACAGGCAACGAAACACCACAATCTTGGTCCAAGCTTTGTAACTAATACCTCTCCAAATGTCAGTCATTGATTATCAATCACCAAGGGTCATGAGATAGCATATAGCTTAATCTTGCTCTGTAAACTAATCTTAAAATACCACATACCCAAAGAGGTAAAGCTAAGAAACCAATATCTTAGGTCTCCAACTTATAAAGAAATCTGAGTTTCGGACATGTAACATGCTTCTTTGCTCATATTCGATAAAAAGTTTTTAATTTATCTCCTGCAAGACAAATCTCAAAATTTGTGGTAGATACAATTTGCAATAAACTAACTGCTCATGAATGTAATATAAAGATACTACCTCTCTGGAGTTCTTTCTTCCTCTGTCTCTCACTCTGAGGATAGTCCTGTCTGTCTATGAAGATTCTGAAAATGTGCTGATGTTTATACACTGGGCTAACCCTTGATTACCATTACTCTGCCAATGCTCTTTGCTTTCACAGAGGGAGAAGGATGGGGGGCTCACCATATCCCTTGGAATGCAAACTTCACAATTAAGACTTGCTCTGGTCTGAGAAATAATTACCTGAATTCGAAGCCAGTGGAATGGAAGGACTCAGGCCAGAATCACTACAACAAAGAAGAATTTGAACTTAGGTCATATCAAAGAAAGCAATTTCCAAAAGCCCCTGTGGGACTGGGTGCCATTTATCAGGTGAGTTGCTTTGAAGAGATGTAAAGAGAGACAGCACTATACTTTATAGGATATCTCACTATACGGACCCAGAAAGAAAATCTGTTCTGAGGAAAAAAAAATTCCTCATATTTGTTAAGATAAGCTTATAACCTGGAACACCGCTGACACCATTCATGCGGAAGGGAAAGGAACATGTTTCTCCATTGAAAATCATACCAGTAGATATGGAAAGGGAGACAAGGCATGGGTGGGAGGCTGGGGGGAATTCACTAATTTTTTAAAGTAAGATCAAAGTAGTAAAGTAAGATTATAGGAGGCCAGTTATATCTTTCAAAATTGTCAGTACCACACTGTTTCTGAGTTCTTTCTGAATTCGTCCAGCTACCCAGTTATTATTACTCTGCCATTTAGGATGCCCACAGAAATGTCCAAAAATACACATGAAGGCCAAAGCACCCTGGAAGGAGTGCCTCCTTCACCCTAGACTAATTACTCACATGTCAGCTTGCCGGCGGAGCCACTGTTGGCAAGCACTACTGTCCTGGATATACTGGAGAACTTCAGAGAGCATGGTGCGTTTAAGGCGTTCTTCCTCTCTTGTTTTCTTGAGGTGATCATAGGTTCTAGCACCTAGAGATGTAGAAAACACTGTGACTGCAATGACAGTGCAGCAGAACTGAAGGGCTTCCCAACTGACCAAGAGTTTGTCTTTCTTTGGTTTCCTTTGCAAAGCTGCTATCATAGTTATTTTTCTAAGAGCAAAGTAGATTTCCCCTAGTCTGAACCCCCCCTTCCTTTTTTTTTTTTTCTGAGACAGGGTCTCACTCTGTCACCTGGGCCAGAGTACAGTGGCATCACCATAGCTCACTGCAACCTTGAACTCCTGGGTTCAAGCCAATTCTCCCACCCTGGCCTCCCAAAGTGCTAGGATAACAGGCATGAGCCAATGTACCCACCTGAAATCCCTTTAACACTAAATATTTTTATTCTTTCTCTATCTTTAAGAAATTTGGGGCCATGGCCAGGCACCCTGACTCATGCCTATAATCCTAGCACTCTGGGAGGCTGACGCAGGAGGATCACTTGAGCTCAGGCATTCAAGACCAGCCTAAGCAACAGCAAAACCCCTTCTCTACCAAAAATAGAAAATATTAGCTAGGAGTGGTGGTGGGTGCCTATAATCCCAGCTATTTTGGAGGCTGAGGCATGAGCATCATTTGAACCCAGGAGTTTGAAGGTGCAGTAAGAAATTTTGGAGAAAACAGAAAAATACAAAGAAAATAAGAGTCATTCATATTTCCTCCCTCAAAAACGTAACTAACTTTTACTACTATCGTATTTGTTCCTGTTCTGTTTTTTTCTATAAATCTTTCTAAGTCACACAGTACTATGAACATATGGTCTTCCTTAAAAACCAATAAGAATTTTTTAAAGAAGTTATCTTTGACCAGTACTAGTCCTCTTCACTATTTCCCAGAGGCAAAAAATATTGGTAATCAAAATTAGGTATTGGAGTCTCTATATGCATTTGCTAAACAGAAGCGTTTATGGTGTTTTCTACATGTTAACAAAATTATACAGATTCTAAGATATTACACCAGTTGAGTTTCAAAATACATTCCACATGCCGGGCGCATGGTGGCTCACGCCTGTAATCCTAGCTCTCTGGGAGGCCAAGGCGGGCGAATTGCTTGAGGTCAGGAGTTCGAAACCAGCCTGAGCAAGAGTGAGACCCCGTCTCTACTATAAATACAAAGAATTAATTGGCCAACTAATATATATAGAAAAAATTAGCCAGGCATGTGCGGCATGCCTGTAGTCCCAGCTACTCGGGGTCTGAGGCAGTAGGATTGCTTGAGCCAGGAGATTGAGGTTGCTGTGAGCTAGGCTGATGCCAGCACTCACTCTAGCCTGTGCAACAAAGTGAGACTCTGTCTAAAAAAAAAAAATACATTCCATAGAGCCCCAGGATACTAAGAAAGCATCTCAGTGGTTAATGTAAAGAGAAAGGGCACTCCGAAATACTAGTGGTCCCATTCTCTACACGTAACTTGAACCATCAAACTTCAATGAAAGTAATTCCACTTTTTTCTTATTTGTAGATTGGGGCTTCACATAAAATTCCATTTCAAAAACAGTTTCCACTGTTAAAAATAAAGAACCATTATAGTAGGCTGAACCTACATTCATGGGCTGTGTAAAGAAGCACAGCTACGGCCGGGCACGGTGGCTCATGCCTGTAATCCTAGCACTCTGGGAGGCGCGAGCGGCGGATTGCTCGAGATCAGGAGTTTGAAACCAGCCTGAGCAAGAGCAAGACCCCGTCTGTACTACAAAAATACA